ATTATCCCTATTCTGATTAGCGTCAGAACAAAGGCTCACATTAGTTTGTCAGCGCTAGGACTCCCCTAGAGTACTGGATAATAACCTTATTGAAAGCATTAGAGGGATTTCCTCCCCACCCCACCCCCAATCTATTTCCCTTCTCTAAAGGGGGATAAAAGGGTGAGGTCCAAAAAACAGCTTCATGTTTAGTTCTCTGAAAGACATATCCAGGTAGTTTCCTACGACTAAAACATAAAATACACAGCTAAGATCTTTCTGTGATAGGTTTTCAAAGGTAGCATTTGGGAGGAGGTATGGAAAAAAATCAAAACAAAATCCATTTTCTGTTCAAGAGAAAAGGTCAGATAGTACAGGTGGCTTATCGTGCATGCTTAACTCTGGAAGGCAGGAGTTCAACAGTTTCTATGGCAAAACCAGGGAATGGTAAGGGGATGAAGAATACAAGGAAAAAAACAGCTTTCGGTATCTGAACACCACAAAAAGCAGGTTAACAGAGGTGTCAGGAAAAAGGCTAAGGCATGGCTACAAAGGAGCCAGACCCTAAGAAGATTTTAGAGCACTAGCTTTCAAAACAGGAAGTAATGCTAACAGTAAGTGGCTGTCTTGCTGCAGGAGGAGATCACGGAAGGCAGCACCTTCTGATTTTAGTCTACAGAAAAGCCACTGGCATTTGGACAAAATGCAGGTTTAAAAAGCAAAGAGTCAAGAAAAATAAAGTAATGGCATTAGCTTTCATCTTACCTTGTGTTGACACAAGCTGGCATACAATGGTTGTCAAGTTAGTATGATTAAAGCGATGATTCGTGACGATAGGTTGATTCACACACCTAGGAATGCACGAAAAGGTAAGTATTAGCGTGAATACACAGGGGATAAGAAGAGCAACCTGTCACATAAAAGAGCCGGAAGGCTGAGGGGTAGAAGCAGCTCTATTATGTTTTTAGGACACAGGCACACAGCTATGCTTCAGGTAGAAGCATTATCCACAAAACTCAGATCTGGGTTTGAGATATACTGCACAAGTTACTCAAAACCAAAGAATATTCAAAACAACCCTCACACATTCCATTTAAAAATTTCAACTATAAGAAGAGAACAGATCACAGTTTCAAGCATAGCAGAGTGTTACTGAAAACATTTTTCAGCAGCACTCAAGCTTTGTTAATTTTTTTTTCTCTCCATGGACGGAAACTTCTGAGAAGTTACCTGAAATACACAGATTAGAACTGCATCAACTCCAGCCATCAGATACACACACTTCTACAAATAAAAAATCTAGTGATCACAAATACTGCATATACTTCCCAAACAAGCATAGGAGAAAGGAAATTTATTTCTATGATGCCAAAAAAAACACGGGTAAGTTTTAACTTAACCCCCCCCCTTTATCCCCCCCCACATACTCTTTTTATTCAGCATTAATACTAAAAATTCCAAGACTTAAAAAGAAAAGATGATTATTAATAAGGTAACCTTCTCTACTTGGGAAAGCACAGCAACCAACTGAGAACTGGGCAAACTGGTCATCCAAAAGTGAAAGTAAAAGCTGTGCAGCTGAAAGGAATTTTTGTCTAGCCTGCTTAAAGATCTCCTTTGTTGTTAAAACATTTCATTGTCACATTTAAATGTCAGCTTTTTGAGTCTCAGAAGTGTGCAAGCCCTGCAAGACAGCAAACCAGAAACAGACTTGAGATGGAGGTTCTCACAGCTAATGAAATTAAAAGTAAACCTAGCCAACTCCTCTTCATGTCTCTCATTCAACTTAAATAATGATACGCTTACCAAAGACACAACCCCGAGCATGCAACCCTGCTCCCCATACCCATGAAGCGGTTTTTAATGGATCTCTGTTAGTAGGCTTGTATGGTTTTATAGCCTCTGCTCACAAAGCCAGGACAAAGCCTGCAATGAGTCTCCAGCATATTTTTGTTGCACATGACAGAACCAGTTTACTGCATTTCGGGATCACACAGCTCTTTGCAATAATGCTTTAGTTTTATAAAGACGTACTACTACATTTTCCTAAGGGGAAAACAGGAGCCTCCCTCTCCTGAAGCCAGCAGCATGCCCTTTTTGGACTTTCAAAAGGAGTGAGGGGCCCTCGGAGAGGAGCTGTGTTTAAAGCTTTCAGGATGATCCCACAAATGGCCGCTGGGTCGCCAGCGGCATATGCGGCAGCAGATGGAGAAGTGAAGCTTTCATACCCTCTGAGCAATGCTCTGCAATTTTGACACTTCTCTTGAAAAGCAGAGATGTCAATCACCCTTCCAGACTGGTGTTTTGGCGCAGAAGGGATTCTCCTCAGGCTGTGTACGAACACTGAAGGATAACCTATACAGGCTATTTTGGGGGCAGTTTCTGTCTTAGCTTTCAGGTATAATGAATCCCCACACAGCAGAGCATGATAAATTACTGTTAAGTCTTCTTCACTGTACGTCAGCTTTCTTTTGCCTTTTGTCTCGTTAGAGAGCAACACATACCCAGCGTGCATCTTTACCTTCCCCCCGCCCCTCATTTAAAAGAGTTTTAATTAACATTAGAGCACCTTACTTGGTCTAACAAATAAAATGCCTTGTGAGAGTGAGTGACACAAATGGGCTCCAATACCCAAAGGAGATTCTGACACACCCCACAGTATAATTGTATTAGTGTGGGCTGCTTCAATACCTACTCCTTGAAGACTTCCCAGAAGTTATTTACCAAGAAGAAAAAAACCCAAAACATCTTAAACAGGTCAGAGTCATTCAAGTATTTCACTAACCTATATATTTAAAACTACACATACAAACTATAGCTCCTGTCAAAGCAAGCTGCCTTTAACAGCTACTGTTGAAAATCAAGTTGCAAGTTTAGCTACTGAAAGATCTATATTTTTATATAGCGTAAAAATATCACTCTCAAGCTCACTTAACAGAAATCAGGGGTTTGGGGTTGGGAGGATGTTGTTGGGTCGGGGGGGTTTTTGTTTGGTTGGTTTTTTTAACAAGACTGATATATCAACAGGATTTCCCCTCTTAAAACTTATGCTCCCTTAAGAGTCCTGCAGAAAGAGATCCAATACTCCAACATAACTTCTTATCTATCTTGATTCCCAAACAAGATGCAAACTTGGTTTTGATCAGAGATTCTTTCAATTCCCACTCATTTTATTATAAAACCCCATTAAACCAATGCAGGAAAAAAAACAGGAACAGCAGCAAACCACAGCAACATTTAATTACAAACCAGGAGGAAAATGAGTTGAGGGAAAACGTCAACAGCTTTAGAGTTTTCAAAATGGTTCTGGAGCTTTTAAGGTGTAAGCTAAGGAAGCCATGGACAGAGACACAGAGTATTGAAACCGGTTCACTTCTGAGCATGAGGTTAAAATGGTGCACATATCAGCCTAGCAAAGTTCAAGCATCTACAAGGAAGTCATTCCTGCGGCAAGCGAGTTTAGTCATTCCTGCGGCAAGCGAGTTTACACTGCTGGACTGGAAGCCATTCTAGTCCATAGCATAAATATGATGCGGAGTTTCATTTTCCACATCAAAGTGTTTCCAGAAGCCAGTTTCCCTTTACCCTGCTCTTCCAGCTCCAAAAGCTGTACTTTACCTTGCCTACAAGGTTACTGCTGCAGAGGTGATGACCAACTCATTCCACTTAACGCTCACTTATACCAGGAAGCAAATTCACTGCTGGGTGGGCTGGTTGCCAGCACAGCAGTTCCCCTCGGGGAATCACCAGAGTGATGAGACACATCGACCCTTCCCGCTGTGGAGAAGGTTCTCAGTGTACGCTCCGCTTTCGGAGCCTGCCCGCCGTTCAACACACAGGCAGAGAAAGCCAGACGCTGGGGGAAGGGGACAACTGAAGCTGCAGGGAAGAGGTAGGGGTTTTCTACCTCTAACTTCTGGTCCTGCAGCTCTTCGACAGTGTGAGCTTCCTCAATAAACTGTCTTGAATTATCACACAGAAATATCATCAGTTTAAAATAAATAAATAAGCAAGCAAACAACAGGCCAGGCTTCGACTGGTCTCTTACTAGCATCGCTAGGCTCGGTTTGAAAATACCCTGTTTGCAGACTGCATCACATAGCAAGCCGTGCGAGAACACTAAGCTTCCTGGGAGAGAGCACTAGCTGCCACTACTCAGTAACAAAACAAACAGCACACAAATGGCGGGTGAAAATATTTCTTGCTACGTACAAAAGCTCACCCCCTGAAATTTATAGGAAGCATTTCCACTTAAACTTAAAATCCATTTTTGCAGCTGCTCAGCAAACAAGCCTGCTAGCAGAGTCAAGGAAAATACTGTCTGCATAACTACTGAACCGCAAAGCTGGGTGAATTACACAGAAGGACTTGCAAAGACAGAGAGTGCTTCATCGAAGTCATCTACCTGTCCCTAACTACTACTCTCTGTGCTGGGGGTTATATTGTTACATCTGAAGTAATTCCATTTGTACCCAGAATAACTTCATAACAGAGATTAAACATGTACGACGGCGTTTCTAAAGACATGACACTTGTCATGACAACTAGATAAACATAGTTACAGACTGCTGTATTTCTAGCAAGAGAAATCTACTGTAACCAATACCATATTACAAGCAAGCACCTTTCCTATGTATAGGTTAAGTTTTCCCTTTTCCTGTTCTAGGAAACACCTTTGTGTTCCTATTCACATACTCCTAAAGCCGAACTTAATCCCTGCTGCCTCTCCTCCTACCCCCCCCCCACACCCCCCGTCCCCAGCCCTGCCAGTGAAAGATCACCTCTCTCCCAGCTAAGCCTGATCAGCTGGGATCAGCTGGTTATAGCAGCCGCCAAGTGGCTCAGAGGGGCAGGGGAGCTGCGGGGAGTCCTTGTACCAGGCAGAGTGCACAACAGGACACTGACCGGGAAACGCTGGAGCAAGGCTTCCAAGCTACTGACCTTTCATGCAGGCATCGGCAGGCAACGGGCCTCTCCGGGAGGATCTCAGGTTAGCAAGAAGAGATGCAACTTTCAAAAGGAAAAAAGAGACAGCAGTGGCCTGACACAGACTCCGGGTGCAGCGTCAAACCTTCCTGGACTGACGGAAGCCAGCAGCTTACATCTGTTTTCCCGTGAAAGCAGAACAAGCAAGAGACATATTTGGGCGGTATAGCAGTAGATGGCTGTGGTGTGAGTGCACTGATAAAAAGCAGAAGTGATGCAACAGGAACAGCCGCAGACACAGAAACCCAAGTCTGCAGCTGAGAGATTGCACAGCTGAGGAGCTGAGGTTAAGTCCACTGCAGACTGCTCTGAGAGCTGAAACAATTCTCCAGGCAGGAATAAAATAGCTGAAAACAACCATGATCACAGGACAGAACTAATCCCATCAAAATCGCTACACTACAGGCGGGACGCAAATTTAGTGACTTCAGTAACCATTGCTCGCTGACTCCCCAGGCAGCTCGTGAGCTCAAGCAGCCATTTCAGTCCACCTTCGCCTGCTGCACTAAATACAAACTCTACTGATAACTGTCTGGAAACTGTTTCAGCAAAGACAGGGTGCACTGAACAACTCAAGGACATTGGGCCCTCCTCAAAGACCACAGGTGGTCAATTTTCATGACAAGCAGAGAGAAGGTGACAGAACCAAAGTCTCTGCTACAGTAATACCGTGGTTGGGAAATTTTCAGCCTCCAGATCAGTACTTTACCAGACCCGGACTTCACGGAAGCATCTGCATATTACAAAACCTCTTCAAAGGAGGAACGTGAGGGCACGTGGGTTTTGACGACAACTTGTCTAAAAGGAGGTTATGGCTCCGTTGCCATGTGCTACTCTGCTCTACAACGGGGTGCAACACCGTAAAGTGGTAACAATCATCTTCGATTTTAAAAGCTAGTTAGATTAGGTTGCAGGTATTTCAGGCACACTTCCTTCACCCCAGTGGCCCCTTAAAGAAACATACCTTCCTACTTTCAGGCAGTACTCTCTTCTCTAGTGGTCCATAAAACACTCATTTATATAACAGGACAACCCGATTTAAAAGGGCAGATGAAACGCCAAACAAGAAAAAAAATTATTTTCTTCTCCAAGTTTTGCTTACAGAATCACTACCAGAAACAACATGCAAGTTATAAAAAGACAGAAGTGTGATCCGTAGAACTGCCAGTGCCACAGCTGGCCACCAGATTACAATACTGAAAAGAATTATTCTCTCTGCATAGAAATATACCCCCAAAAAATAGCATGGCACGAAAAGAAGAAAGGGAGGTAGACTTGCAAGGAGATTTATGACAGACACCTGAAGAGGAGGCGGGGGATGAAACCAACGATAAACTGCGGACACAAAAGAACTGCTCCTTAGAGCATTGGCATTTAACATGCAAATTCTCTCTCTGCTTAGGCGTTTTGCCTCCCTTTGATGTATACAGACAAGTTCTAACTAGAGATGCAGACTGGGGAGAGTCCCCTTTCCCCATTATCTGAAGTATTTTTTTCTAAGCAACAGTTAAGCGCTCTGAAAATAACTATATCACTTCTGCTTCTGTTCAGAGGAGAAAAGAAAAAAAAACACAAAAAAAGAGAAGTATAAAAATTGTTATTATTAAAGGAGAGGGGCAATGTCTTCCCGGCTCTGACGCAGGATGCTAGCGGCAAGCTGGTGCCTGATATCTATAGCGCAGCCTAGGAGAAGAGAAAGACAAGCTGAACAACAAACAGAGGACAGTAAATATACTCTGGAAGAGACCCAGATGTCTTGAGCTTAGTCCTACCGCATGAAAAATTAAAGAGGTTAAAACCTCCTCTTAAGAACTTTTCTTCCCATTGTTCCGACCACGACTCTCCTGAACAAGCCGCATTGCTCCAGAAACCTCAGGAATTACGGTGACAATAGGCTCCTGCCAAGAGAAGCACCATTACATAATAGCATTTATGGGAACACGCACAAAAAGCCACTAGGAAGCGCAACCAGACAAGTGCGAAACCCTCTCTGCCCATCAGCTCGGTTTAGCTCTCGACCGTTCCAAAGACGACTTCAGGATATTTTTAATATATACGTTTACTGCCTCTCACCTCCTTCCACCCAGCAAAATCTGTGTTATTGTAACTACACTGAGATCAAGTCCATTCCCAACAAGAACGTAACCCCCTTGAGAATAAGCCCACTCCAAACTACTGCATTTGCATTACATGTTTAAAAGAACACTACAAAAACGAAAAAACGTGTCGTTGTTTGCATTAAGTCAATATATTAGAAATAAGAACTACTTATTACGGTATTTTTTCATCTTTTCATCTGTTACTCCATCTTAGAGATACTTAAAACAGTTCTTGTTCTTCAGTTCCCAGAAGCCCAGCGCGGCTGTTTTTGAGTTCCAGGCCCTCCGGGGGATTTACGACAGGTGGGTTACACACAGGCACAGCTTCAGCCGCAGCACCGCCCGCGTGTAAAGGCAGCCGCCGGGGAAGCGCTGACCCGTAGGCACCGTTAGGGCACCGTAACTACGAACGCAAGGATGAAGCCCTAACGAACGCAAAGTTTCTCGCGTCAAGCCCTCTGCAGGAGTGCCTTCACTAGCACCCTCACCTCAGACACCACTTTTCCTCCCGGTCTCTCTACGCACCCGTAAGCTCTACTAAAGGAAGAGCAGAGGAGAGCGATGCACGCTTCTCGGCTCTTACTCTCGGGGTTTTTAAATCCTAGGGGTTCATCCCACACCAGGCAGGATCCACGAGCCTGAACATTCACCTTAAAGATCGCAGACCTCAGAGAAAACCCAGCTCTGTTGTTACCGCCGACCGTACGCTGCTGTGACACGAGGGAGACGCAGGTACCGCAGGTGACATTACGTTGCAGGCCCGGCCGGAAAGCCCAGCGCCGACCTCCCGGGCGG